TTATATAGAAAAAATTATAAGATGTGATTGGTAACTCACATTTTTTTCTAAACATGAACAACTAAATGTCCATCCAGTCCACAATCTTCATAGAAATTGCTTTCACCTTCTACATTTTCCACAACATATCCATTCATGGTTGGTTGTGTTGGTGATGGGGTAGATTATGGGATAAGTGTTGTTGATAGGGTATATTTTGGGGTAGGTGTTGGGATAGATGTATATTTTAAGGATGTGGTAGTTCCTTTACTTAAGGAGGATGTGGTAGTTACCGTTGTTGTGGAGGATTGTAATGTAGATGCAAGTTTTGAGGTTTTGGTAATAGATATATGTGTTGATGATGTGGTAGCGGATGTTGGTGTTCAGTATGGTTTAGATGATGTAGGTGTTGAAGTTTTGGTTATTGATGTAAGTGTTGAGTATTGTATTGTTCCAATTTCTGAACTTTTGAATGTATTTGTTGAGGATGGTGTGGATGTTGTAAGTGAGGTCAAGGAAGTGGTAATCATGGTTGGTGTCAATAATTTAGGTTAAGGGGTTTTGGTGTTATATGTTATAGGTGCATTGGATGTGGTTGTTGAATTAGGAAGTCGATTTATGTTAGGTTTTAAGCATTCTAACATTCCTGTGGTGTACATGCAACCCTAAATACCTTGGATATATGTTTTCTCTATTATACGTGAAAATATCAATTTCAAAGGTACGTATCCTAACTAGCATATTATGAAGTATAAAAAATATAAAATATAGTAGAATGACATACCTCTTTGTTGGTGCTTGATTCCATGTAGCTAAAGAGCCTATTGCCCCACGTGTGACGCCTCAAATGGTTCGCACAATATCAAATGCATTTGGAATAACTTAGAGAAAAATAGAACACTTCAAAAATCGGGTTGCCCTCACTTCTTCACTAGTGGCCGATTTTGTCGTATATAGTTGTTACAATAAAGGTAAACCCTAATTGTCATGGCTTTCCATTTCCTTGGATCCATGGGTTCAAATACACCATGGAGCATCCATGGAGTATCATATGGGTTTTAGCCCAACTTGATAATCCATGGAGCATTAGCCCACTATATAAGTATGGATGATTTACACAATCAACCCATATATTTAATTAGTCTTATTTTGATCACTTAATTAATTCTAGATTAATTCTTTATCAATACTAATTAAATAATATTATTAATATATTAAAACTTATAATATATTAAGAAACCTTAAGTGTTATTTCTGTCATTTTAGTCTATCCAAATGTATGATGTCATACAACTCAAATGGACCATGCCGGGTCGGGTCAAGTATATACCAATTATAGTTATGGACTAATCCAACAATTTCTTCATCTTGTAATTGTTTGCTTATAAATTTTGCAGTTGAAGTCCTCTTGAGGTTTAAAACTTGTAGTGTAATGAATTTAGTTGCCTTCTCACCTGGTGCTCCTTTTGCTTTCAAGTTCGACATCTTTCTTACTTACAAAAACAAAAACTATAGTCAATACCAATTTATCAAAGATGATAAACTACTGATGAGCAGAGAGAACAAGCAAACAATTAAAATAAATTATAGATAAAGGCATTACTACGCATGCAAACTAATGAACACAATCAAAACCAATTTACTTGTAATATAAGATGATAATATATATGAAGATGATAAGAGAACAAGAAACGATGATCACAACAATAATACATTAAATAAAGATAAATTTTAGATGAGTGACAACCTATATCGCCAAAGTCATTGCACAAACGTAATGAACAAAGATTTCGATCAATTAGCCACCGGAGATGATGATTACAGAAAATCTAAACCCTATTTATGCAGCCTAAACGTGTATATGTTGGAGGGAAAGGAATTGCGAAATATTTTGAAGCTCCTCAAATGAAAATTCCGAACTGTGCTAATTAGCGCTAAATATGTAGTAATTCAAATTAAATAAAGTAGTTCCAGATTGATAGATAGGGTATATATATATATATATATATATATATATATATATATATATATATATATATATATATATATATATATATATATATATATATATATATATATATAACGTCAAGAAACATAGATTAACGAGGTGTTCACAGCATAATTTTAATTTAAAATTATAAACGAGAATTAAACATTAATAAACTATACATCTTTATGCTGTTATGTTTAAAACAAATTTTATATATAAAATACGTGTGGGTCATGTTAATATGGTAGTTGCTTATAGTGTCATGGTATACCCATGCATGCATGACATACGGGTCATTGGTCAACATGGTAGTTGCTTATAGTATCATGCTATACCAATGGATGACATACGGGTCATTAGTCAAAATGGTAGATGCTTATAGTGTCATGGTATACCCATGGATGACATATGGGTCATTGGTCAACATGGTAGTTGCTTATAGTGTCGTGGTATACCCATGGATGGCATACGGATCATTGGTCAACATGGCCCACGGATGATATATGGGTCATTGGTCAATATGGTAGTTGCTTATAGTGTTATGGTATACCCATGGATGATAAACAAGTAATTGGTTAACATGGTAGTTTCTTAAAGTGTCATGGTAACACCTATAGATAACATACGGGTCATTGGTCAACAAGGTAGTTTCTTATAGTGTCATGGTATACCCATGGATGACATTCGTGTAATTAGTCAACAAGGTAGGTGGTTATAGTCTCATGGTATACCCATGGATGTCATATAGGTCATTCGTCAACATGGTAGTTGCTTATAGTGTCATGGTATACCCATGAATGACATACGTGTCATTGGTCAACATGGTAGTTGTTTATAGTGTCATGGTAACACTCATGGATGACATATGGGTCATTTGTCAACATGCTAGTTTCTTATATTGTTATGGTATACCCATGTATGACATACGAGTCATTGGACAACATGGAAGTTGCTTATAGTGTCATGGGAACACCCATGGATGACATATGGGTCATTGGTCAACATGGTAGTTGCTTATAGTGTCATGGTATACCTATAGATGACATACGAGTCATTGGTCAACATGGTAGATGCTTATAGTGTCATGGTATACCGATGTATGAAATATGGGTCATTAGTAAAAATGGTAGTTTCTTATAGTGTCATTGTATACCCATGGATGACATACTGGTCATTAGTCAACATGGTAGTTGCTTATAGTGTCATGGTAACACCTATCATTGGGTCATTGGTCAACATGGTAGTTGTTTATAGTGTCATGGTAACTCCCATGGGTGACATATGCATCATTGGTCAACATGGTAGTTACTTATAGTGTCATGGTATACTCAAGGATGACATATGGATCATTGGTCAACATGGTAGTTGCTTATAGTGTCATGGTATACTCAAGGATGGCATACGGATTATTGGTCAACATGGTAGTTGCTTATAGTATCATGCTATACTCATGGATGACATATGGGTCATTGGTCAACATGGTAGTTGCTTATAGTGCCATGGTATACCCATACATGGATGACATAAGGGTCATTGGTCAACGTGGTAGTTGCTTATAGTGTCATGGTATACCCATGGATGACATACGGGTCATTGGTAAACATGGTAGTTGCTTATAGTCTCATCGTAACATACATGGATGACATATGGGTCACTGGTTAACTTGGTAGTTGGGTATATTGTCAAGGTAACACCCATGGATGCCATACGGGCCATTGGTCAACATTGTAGTTGCTTAAAGTGTCATGGTAACAAACATGGATGACATATGTGTCATTGGTCAACATGGTAGTTGCTTTTAGTGTCATGGTATACCCATCGATGACATACAGGCCCATTGGTCAAAATCGTAGATGCTTATGGTGTCATGGTATACCCATGGATGACATACAGGTCATTGGTCAACATGGAAGTTTCTTATAGTGTCATGGTAACACCCATGGATGACATATGGGCCATTGGTCAACATGGTATATGCTTATAGTGTCATGGTATACCCATGGATGAACATACGAGTCTTTGGTCAACATGGTAGTTGCCTATGGTGTCATGGTAACACCTATGGATGACGTACGGGTCATTGGTTAACATGGTAGATGCTTATAGTTTCATGGTATACCCACGGATGACATGCAGGTCATTGGTCAACATGGTAGTTGCTTATAGTGTAATAGTAACACATATGGATGACATACGGGTCATTAGTCAACATGGTAGATGCTTATATGGTCATGGTATTGCCATGAACTACATATGAGTCAAATGTCAACATGGTAGTTGCTTAGAATGTCATGGTAACATCCATGGATGACATACGGGTCATTAGTCAACATGATAGATGCTTATAGTGTCATGGTATACCCATGGATGACATATGGGTGATGGTAACACCTATGGATTTTATATGCATCATGGTTACGATGGTAACACCCATGGATGCCATATAGGCGATGGTAATACCCATTGATTCCGTATTTGTCATGGTTGTGATGGTAACACCCGTGGATGCCATATAGGTGACGGTTATGTTTTAAAATATATTTTTTTTTTAATTTTTGATTTTTGACAAAATTACACTTACTAATCAAATATGAGCCATTGTATGTATGAGGGAAATTTGTTCATTTTATAGTCAACATCATGTATGTGTCATAATTTTTTCGACGAAACCCAACGTTTCAGTTCTTTAGCCTTATTTCAGTCACTTTCAATCAACCTCAATTTCAAAATTCCGACGGTAAAAAATCCCCACAATCATTTTTACATAATCGCTAAGTAAATCAACTAATATTATTATGGAAGCAAGTACTTCTTCGAAGATGCAACTGAGAAAGCAAAGCAAATCGCGAACTGACATGCCATTGGAAGTGATTGAGAAGATAATACTCGAGGTGGGACAATTTTCAGCAATCGACGCTTTCAAGATGAAGATTGTGGAAGTTTTGTCTTCGATCCTTCTATTACATGTGTTTATTTCATTTGTACTTACAGTTAGGGGCCAACATTTTGTTTCGTTTGCAGTTATAGAATCATGAACAAGGCAGGAAAAACGGAAGAAATATACAAACATATGGAGGTAGATGGATTACGATTCCATCGATGGTCTGAAGATAAACATGCGGTTGTTCACAAATTCAAAGAGATAAGAAACCCAAATATTTTGTTCTGTGATGGATTGGTACATTGTAATATATATATATATATATATATATATATATATATATATATATATATATATATATATATATATATAGACATACAGATATATACATATATATATATATATATAAAAATATAATATTCATTGTTTTTCTTGTTTTGCATTACTTTAACTAGAAATTATGTGTTTAATGTTTTTTCAGAGTAATTTATTTTTCTTGGAAGTTGATCATGAAGGGAAAACGATGCTTGAAGAAGCATCTGCATTGGGACATTTTAATTCAACATTTGTCTTGGGAATGATGTTGTTGGCAGAAGGCAGACAGAGGATGCAGGAAGCTTTGGACATGTTGAACAATGCTTACCGAAGAACAAAAGGTACTTGGAATCCTAGAGCAACCTATTCCAAGGTTCATTTCCACTTAAATAGGTACGGGAGAAAACATGTGCACTTCCATGGCTTCCATAGAACTTGTGTAATGCATAGGTTTGTGATTAGTGTGTCAGACGCTTTCTTTGAAGAGCGCAAATCGATGGCTAGGTGTCAAATTTTTTTGTGGGATGCTCGTTTCATTAGGTTTGCTGGGGAGTTTGGAATCATTTATAAGTAGTTTGTTGATATATGAATTTATAGTAATTTAGTTGGTAAGTAGTTACTTGATGCATGTTGTTACTTGATATATGAATATATAGTAATTTAATTGATAAGTAGTTAGTTGATTTTTTACTTGATTAGTAAAGATGTTGTGTTGTACTTAAGGAACTAAAAGCGTAAAATTTTGGAAAATCCTGTGGCAAAAATGAAAGTCAACAAAAGCTTACTATTCCTAACTTGGTCAAGTTTTAATATATATACATATTAGTGTTTATATAATGATTTACTTGATAAGTAGTAAAGTCAAAATGTTTGACTCTACTTTAGGTAAGTCCACTATCTAACTCTATTAAGTTCCTATTTGGAGATTCTTAATACATGATGTATTGTAATTACATTTTTTTGTTTTGTAGGATCAAAGAAAAGAAAGGAAGCTTAAAGGAAGAGTAAGTTGAATATGATCGCAAAGAGATGGATTTTGATCACCTGATTCGATGATCAGATTTTTGAGCTGCTGCTTAGGAGTTATGATAGATTTCTTAGAAATATGTAGTAATATAGTTTTTATATTGTAATTGCATTGTAAGGAAAAGTTTTTCCATATTTTATAAATAACTAAAATTTTGATTTTATCTTATCTTATATCTCCTTGCAATGATATTTGTGAAAATTGATGTCTGTATGTTTCTATTGTTAGCAATGTTGAAAATGGATTTGATTCTTTCGTTTGTGGTCGTGTCTAAATTTACCAAATAATGAAAGATTCTCATCACCAAGTTTCAATTGGACAAAAACTTGGAATCATGCAACTTGTATTGTATGATGAGTGAGAACCTTCATCTTTGAAAAATTAAGAATAATTGCTTGTTCACATGTATATGTGAGTCAACTGAAGGACTAGGGGATCAGGTACACTTGGTTGTGCACTGGGCAGGTCCACCACAAAGAACAAAAAGACTATTCGTCATGATTTACTAAAATTTTAGTAAATATGGTTATGCTTACAAGTTTAATTGTAATTCTGAATCATTGAAAAAGTTTCAAAGTATAGCAGGATGAATAAGAAGAATCAATTAGGCAGAAAGATAAAAGTTTCTCCAATCTGAAAGGAAAGGAGAGTACTTTAGTATCGTGTTTTATGATCATCTTAATGATTATGAAAACTATATCACAATTGATCCTCTAAGGACACCTTAATGCATTTGTATGGCTAAGAAGAGGAATCAGAAATTGTTGAAATGTTTAAATCAATTAAGGTGAATCATACCTCGTTCCAAAATGAAGTCTTAGAGTCTTACTCCCAGATCGTTCCTTGAGTGATATATCTTAAGTAGGTTTATAACACATTTAGAATTGGTAGTTGTGATGTCTTTAAGACAAAGACCAACTAAGGCTAATTGTATGAAGTGTTTTTCCTTGATAAGAACTGCACTAACTCTTGAATACTTATTTGTCAAGGAGTATTTCTTGACAAGAGAATCTTATATGTCAAGAATTCATTGGGAGTCTTAAAGATCTTGAAAAGTTTCAAGAACAAATCAAGAATAAAACCTGTTGTTTATCGCTAGCACGCGACTTGAGGTTCGTTACCTATCATGTTGACATATTCTTGTTTCGATGCCCATTCCAGTTAAAGTTTACTATGCATGTGAGTTTTATGAGTTCTCAATTGTTTGCATAGGGCAAAGCACCTTATCAGTGAAAGTTCATTGATCAGTAAGGGTGATCTGTTGAACAACTTGGAAGACATGGTAGGCCCTTGTGCTGCCAAGTGGTACGAAATTAAGATTGGACAAGTTAAGTACATATGAGTTTAAGTTTGTCATAGATCTTGTTATATGATAATGGTTGGAAATGACAGATTCACATGGATATGAAGACATACACCATAAAATCTAAGTGTCATAAGGTTTCTCTCCAATTCATGAAAATCATTGTGAGGAAACGATTTCAGTAAGTAGATTAAAGGAAATAGTAGTTCTGTTAATTGCATTCTCAAATTCGATTATGATTATGGCATCCCTCTTCATAGTTCGAATTGTGAGAAATGGCAAATAGTTTGAACATTCGGAACTTATTGTTGTAAGTTATGAAATAGTTGAGACACACAAATAAGCTTTCTAATAAAAGGTGTATGAACTTAGATAAAGCTTTATCAAAGCATCTCATATCAGAAATCTGAACTTTGGAAAGAAATTCAATAAGTATTGATTTCTAGAAGTCCAGCTGATTTCTGAGTACATGTCAAAGCTAGTGGGAGCATAAGTGTTATGCTGGTAAAAATATAATTATCATGATAGTGGGAAAATGATTATTATGTGAAGTGTTGCAAGTTAGCAATATTGGTTATAGGAAACAAAGGTTACAAATTTGGAAAGTTGAAGAAATTGAAAAGTTGTTTCACTATAGTAAGGGAGATGATACTTATACTTTATTTCGAATCAGAAAAAGTTTAGATCAAACTTATTCATGGATATATATATATATATATATATATATATATATATATATATATATATATATATATATATATATATATATATACCATGTTGAAGTGCTTCAACATGGGAATTATATATGGAAATATTATAGCAAAAGACTGGTCGAGTATCATGTCTTTATGTAATACATTATGAATCGTGTCTCATATGCTTCAGGTATAGGATCGATTACATATTTTATAACATTTGCATGTTCTAAATTTCCAAAATGCCTAGGGCATTAAGAGAAAAAAAAGAGTAGAACCAGATATGACTATAGTGGTTAAACAGCTGTCAAAGACAATCTAAGGTTCACCAAGGATTAGTCGCTTATGGGCAGCTGGAAGTATAGTATTAAATGGACCATATTGAAATTATTATGAATAGACATGATTATATTTATAATGAATTGTAATATGGGATATATGGAAATGTTTCTATAATGGGAGACGGATATTAAGAATCTATATGTAGGTTAGAAACTTTTATGCAAGAAGGATGCTCAAAGGAATATACTTTGAATTTGAGAATTCGCTTCCATGGAATTGTTTTGTTATCAATATCCAGTGGAATGTTTTGTAATATCATTGGCAAAGTCTCTGTGACTTTGGTACCTCGACATTACAAAAGTTACATTGCATGATAGTTTAGAATCTAACACATTCTAATAGTGGCAAGAATTTGGAATTCTTACGCTTACAATAAGGATTTGGATTTGTGAAATGAGCACCATTGGAAATATTTTCAATTGATCTATTTCACAAAGAAATAACAATAGGCAAATATAGTTTGCATGCTTGGAGCATGGGATAACTATTGTTTTAATTCAAGTATTAAGTTGATTAATATAAACATTATACAATGAATAATGTGTACTTAATATGGTGATTAAATAAAAGGTGTTTTATTTATATTCAAAAGTTTTGAGACCATATTGGATTCGATTATTCTTGTGTTTCACTTTGCATGTTTTGACTTCCCGAATAATAAGATTATTCTGACCATCCACATTCGATCATACTTTGGAAGTAAGTGTTGAAGCAAGAAGGTCATGAATCTGCCTGTAGACTGTCTAAGTGTTTTAGACATAGCACAAGTTTGTTGCAGTGTTCATGAGTACTCTTATAAGATTTGCGTATTGGATTAAACCCACACTCACGTGAATCACTTCATGGATTTTATCACGAGTGATTGGTGAGACGATAATATCTTATATTCTTGAAATAGAGACATATAGTTGCAGTTTACAAATCGGTTGCACATTGGTAATATGTAAACGCACCAGTAACTTGGTATTATAACACATATTATTGTGTGTGATTTGATGAGTGAAAAAAGCAAGCATATGAGTCGAATTTTATCTGTTCCTTTTACCCTTAGAGGGATAATGTAATGACGTAAATTTCAAAACAAATTTTTCATTTTTGTAAACATCAAAAATCATCGATTAATATTCCAAATTCAAACGTGAACAATGTTATCATAACAAAATACATCCCAATGATCATAAAATAGTTTTTCCCATACAATGTGTACGATCACGCCGGCGCCTTCCCACGGTCCTCGCTAGCACCTGAAACACATAACACAACAACTGTAAGCATAAATGCTTAGTGAGTTCCCCCAAATACAACTTACGCACATACGCCTTTCCAGGCCCTGACCTTCCGGTCCGTGTGTCTCAGGGGACTTCCGTCCCGACTAGATAAACCTTCCGATCCTACCTACGTCAACCTTACGGTCCACATTACAACACCTTCCGGCCCAATACATGTACGCCTTCCGGCCCATAACCTAGTGCCTTCCGGCCCATATCAAGCATATCATACATGGCACATATAAACGATTAACTTATCACATACGATGCATATAACTCATAACGTATCTGACCTTCCGGTCACACAATAAAAACCCTTCCGGGTACAGTATAGTGAGAAAACTCACCTCGTGGAAAGTCTAAGATCTCGCGTACTCGCTATCTCCAAATCCCAACGACGACCCTACCTCGCCTAATCATAAAAATATCATTTAATAATCAAAGACTTCCATAACTAAAACTTTACCTTTATCATCATTCCTCAGAGGGTAAAAGACCATTTTACCCTTCCTTAACCTAAAGTCCTCATGTTGACCAAAACCCTAAAAGTCAACAAAAGTCAACCCTGTGAGTACGCGGGGCGTACTGCTAGATGTACGCGGGGCGTACATCACCAACCCATGGATCGGGGTCTCCACCCAGTATGTTGCGCGTACTGGAAGTTACGCCCAGTGTAACCATCAGATTCTAACACACTTCATTTCTGGTCTTAATCAGTTAAGCCATTACTCCAACTTCTAGATCCGACTCTGTTAATGCGTCTAAACCCATAATGTCGAGACCTTTAAGCCTTGGCATGGCTGTAAAGGCTCCAACACTTCTTAACATCATTCTATTCCAACTCAAGGACCTAGATCTCATGCATGGTGCAATATTCACGTCCAAGATGTCATTTTTATGAGTCTACAACTCCAATAGATCATAAATAAGAAAGATCTA